AAAAAAACGAAGTCCAGATGACATGATTCAACCTTTTTTGTTGTTAATTGTGTTGATGCTTCAGAATCAAACAGTGTTAAAGTTCCCAGTCCATCATATCCTACTGGCTGACCTGCCACAGGTTGGTTCTGTTGGGCTGGAACTTGTTTCCCCATGGATATGTTCGACCTGAAGAAGAGAAGCAAAAAAAAAACGACAACTATGAACTTTGTTATTGAACAAACTGTTCCGAACATGTTTTTTTTCATGTTTTATGATCAGATCTGTCTTTTGTATTGCGTTGGAAACAATCCTTAAAATGTGGTTAATGTGGTTTTTTTCTGTTAGTAAAATGAAATAAACTGCTGTCAAGCAGATAAAACAGAACCGTCAGTTGAAAGTGTGGACCGCCCTGAACAGTCACATAACTCAAAAATGTCAAACTTCTTCCAGTTTTTGCTCTGATGAAAATTAACCCCAAAACAGCCAGTAATATTCCAAATTAACTAATACTTGTTTAGGTTAAAGTTTTTATTTGTCCCTGATATATTTCTCCTTTGCCCTCAGGGAGACAAGCACTTTATTACATTCACGAGAATTTAGAATATACTTTTAAACGTCATTCTACCTAAAAACCTATTTCCTCACACTCCCACCTCCGTGCTTCACCATTTGAACCTTCTTCTTATTGTTGTTTGACTCTCATACAAGAGCAACATGTCAATATAGATCTTATCTGGCCTAAAAATGCTGTCCTAAAACTTGTTAGGCCTTCATGTAAGAACGGTTACAACACTGTTTTGTGCACAAAAGCAAGCAAAGCAGGATTTTTGCCTTTCTTGTGAAAAGCTGACATTCTGTTCTGTTTTGAGCTGTCACTTTGAGCTGCAATTTCATCCACTGGTCATTTTACAACTAAGAGTGTGCTCAGTATAGCGTCAACTGTGCTGTCAATAAAATTAAAAAAGGAATGGCTTATAGGAGAAAATACTCTTCCTATCAGTTTAAAACGGTTCTGGTTATTAAAGGTGATAAAACTGTTAAACTAGTATTTGATTGTTATTGCACATTGTTACATTTACCAGAGTTAAATAACTTTTGTCGTGCCCTGGTCAGTTTGCTCAGTATGTGTTCTGTCTCGGTGTACAGATCTGTATTTCACCTTGCAGCCCTCCTCGTGCAGCCCACTCCCACTCCTCCTCTGTGGGTAATCTGCTGCCTTTCCACCTGCAGAAGGCCTGAGCATCATTCCAGCTCACCTGAACCACCGGAAAGTCCAGACGCTCTAGAATGCCTGACTCAGGTCCGGCAGGCTGAACAATGGGATGTCAGAAAAAGCAAATGCTGGAATGCTTGGAGATGCATATGTTTATACATATTGTGGAAATAAATAATAAAAAAAAACCACACCTGTCTCCAAAAAGCTCGCTCTATAGGCAGCCACCAAGGAGCAGACTAGGTAAAGAAGAGATTAGTTACAGATTTGAAGTTAACACTTATTTTTCCATTCAAATTACCTCAATTCTCTGAGTTATTCTGCTCTTCAGCTCATCTGAGACAAAGTCTTGAAAAACAAAACTCCATCCAAACGTCTCAGCTTCAGTTTTATACCTCTGCGCTCTCACAAACTCCCTGCGGTGAAAACAAAGCAAATTGTTGATTATTTCATTGTTTTGTGTCGATATAATTTCCAACATATTGCTAAGTTTTACCTGAAATCTGCATTTGTGACAGGATATTTGTCTATTTTAAAAGGCTGTACTTCCACCTCTCTGATGGGGGACTCTCCGTCCCTGCCGTCCGCTGCGCTTGTTCCCATCAACATCCTTCCTCCGGGGAGGGTCACCATCTCCCCCCGTGCTGTCAGAAAGTACCAGTCTCGTCATGTGAAACGTTTAGGTTTTTATATTATTTTGTATAAACAGGGATTAAAGAGAGAGATCTCACCAGGCACTGACTGTAAAATCACCGCAAATAATATCCGGAACAGAGTTTTACCGTTCATTTTTCTATTTTCCTCAAACTGTTATTGTCGTGAAACTATAATTAAATATAAATATAAAGTAAAAACATAAAGCAGAGCTTAGATTTAACTTTCAAATTTCCATAATTCTGTTAGTTTTGTTTCTAGCGTTGAGGCGGTCACAAAAACTTGTTCGACCTTCAACAAGTTCTGCGTTTGAAGGTTCCGCTTCAAGACATTTTATTCATGCAGCAGTAACATATAAAAAAAAAAGTTAAAAGCCCAATTCTTTAAGTAACATAAAATTTCTTACAAGGCTATTTCACTATTACACCGGAAATATTTTAAGAAACTTTTTTTTTCCACCCATCCTTTATCTTTTGCTTGTTCCAGTCTGGTCGCAGGTGCTGCAGGTTCATAGATATAAACACTAGATGCCTCATTGGCTGCTGTGGCGCAGGATTTTCGGCCGCCATCTTGAAACGGTCGTCCTTATTTGGTTAAAGCAGATGTTTCAGCACTTCGCAGCTTATTTCTGTTCAGATCGACGGACTGTTGACGTCAGGTCTCGTGGGATAACTTTTCACAAGTAAGATGAACATATTATTGTTAGTATTTTGTGAATAGAATATTACTGTACTGTATTTATGTCCACCAGCTGATGTGATGTTCAGTGTAACACGGTGTTCAGCTGTAATGAAGCTGAGATCTGATGACAGGAATATTTTTCTAACAAGCATACTCACTATTTCAGTAGCTTTGGTTCATTATCAAGAGATATGTATCATAATTGGAGTTTTGTTCAAGTTCTAGGATATAAAAAAAATAAAACTAGGGAGAATATAGGAAATAGAAAATAAGCTTGACCTCCTCTGTACAATGTTTTTGTGTAGACACAAATCTCCTTTTTTCATTTTGAAGGTTTCCCAAAGAACAAGATGTGAGGAAGAGGAGGAAGTATCTTTGAGGAGGATTCATCTGAGCAGTGAGGATTTTAAACTGGAGGATTTTGATCAAACTGATCAGACTGTCCGACTGAGAGATGGTGTGGTACCATCGGTTCACCTTCAAAGAGTAGGAGCATCATTATAAGTTCATTAATGTTCATAAATTTACATATTTTATTGTCAGTCACAAGGTGAGACCCCTCCATGTGTTTATATGAACAGGTAACTAGAGACTGTAAAGTTCATATTCATGATGCTTTTTCATTTCAGCTTGAAAACTGCAGGACTACAGGAACTCAACAAAAGCTGGAGCTGCTCTGTCTGTGGCCTCTCAGGAACGTGCACGTCACACACACACTCTCAGGAACGTGCACGTCACACACACAACCTTGGCCTCATGATGTGAGTAATTTTAAACTTTTATTTTTTCATTTAGCCTTTATTTATACAGGTAGTCTCATTGAGTCACGAGAACTCATTTTCAAGAGAGACCTGTTTAGGAGCAGATGGTGTGGGGTTGAGTGCCTTGCTCAGGGGACCAGGGTGGGGCCAATGAGGGTGGAGGCAGGTGTGGGTGTTTCACCTTTTCCACCTCATTTTGATGTTGACGGTACCGGGAGTTGAACCTGCGACTTTCCGACCACAGGCCCATCTTCTAACCTCTGCTCCACCACTCCCCCACATAACATCATATCATAATGGTCATGGCCTTATTAAAATCTCACTGGTTTCCTTCCAGATGTGTTAAACAGCTACTGGTCCCCCTGATGTTTCCAGGTGGCTGTGGTCAGTGGATGAAAAGCCTGGCATGAACAAGATGATGCTGGAGATCATCATTTGACGAGAGCTCCCACCTTCTAACTGTGAAGAACAAGAGCAGCTCAGTGATTCCCTCAAGGCTCAGTGAAGGTGCTGAGAGCTGCAGAGAGGCTGATCCATGGAGCTTCAACACAGCAACCTCCAAACATGTCCACCCTCACACACATCGTCCATGAAGACACTGGACCAGAGCACAAGATAATAAGACAGTGATAACAACAACAACAACAGACATTCACTAATGATTCATACAAATTTAAGTTTTTTTAATTGTTTGTTTGTTTTACAATTGAAAAACAGTTTGTTATCCACTGTTGTCATCACTCTTTGTTAAAATCCAGGTCTCTTTTGTAAATGAGTCCTATTGGCTCAATGGAACTAACCTGTATCAATAAAGGTTGAATCAATATAGATACAAATAATGATTTATTCAACCTTTTATTTATACAGGTTGGCTTCATGGAGCCACAAGGACTCATTTACAAGAGATCTGCTCCAGACAGAACAGTAAACAATGGCAATGATAAACTACAGTAAAAATGATAGAGATGATACATATATATACATACATAAGATTTGTATATATAAAATAGACATAATGTATATATAAGATTGTGACATTATAATGTGTGTGCATATATAAGAAAATTATTAAACTGTATATACA